TTAACTCTTGTTTTCCAACTTGTACAAATATATATAACTCGGGTTTTAAAATAATGATCATGTTTATCATTAGCGCGCCATCATTATATCATCAATTGCTCCACACTAAATCAAATAAGTCTTCATAATGATCGTGCCCCGCCACGTTGTTTAGCAGCGCTATCTGAACTCTCTCCTTGTTAATCTATTTTTATATAAAAATGTATTTCTAATTTTACAAATTATTACCGTCATTTTAGAAAGCTCATCAGGAAGTGTAGGTATCTCTAAATCGAGAGCTGACTGAACAAAGCAGACGACATTTCTGGATTCAGCAGATCGAAATCACAAAGTCTTCTGTTTGTGTTGTAGAATGAAGAGACTCAAAACTCGTTGTTATTTAAAAGACATTACAGAGGAGGAAAGACGTCTTTTGAAAATAGCTGGAATGTGGCACCCTGAATAGAACATCAGTTGCAAAAACAGACATCCATAAAGGATTTCTTTAAAAGATCTTCATGATTTTTTTAAATAATATTTATTATTGTATTTTTATATTTGCGCTTTACAACTGCAATTATTCAATTAGATAAAAATTTTATTTGTAATTATTTATAAGTATCTCAAAAATACGTATTAATTCCATTTTGTCCTTGACACTAAAAGTTAATCATGAAAATAAAAAATAGATATACTATAAAACAGTACAATATGCTCTCAATTAATAATTTATATTACAAAGCTATTTTTAAAAAATGTATTTATCGAGTTCTATGATTAGCTGATTATATAACTAACTTTCATTTAACAATTTCTTTGATTCAACTGAAAGCCCTGATCCCTTGGGGTGTTGAATTAAATGATGTTCGGCTAGATTTATCAAGAGACTAAATGGTTTATCATCAGACATGGCAGTGCTCATACAAGGACAGAAACCACAGTCAAGGTCTGGGAGCTCACATGTCACAGACTCCCATTGTTACACCAGCTCGACACTGAGAGAAATTGCTCTCAATTCCCCACAGGGACACACAAATCACCTTCCAGTGGATCCTACCTAGGACTGAAGAAGGACACAGCAGATGTGATTGAAATATCACCAGCAATACCTAACTCAGACCTTGATTTCGACTCTTTCAATTGCATACAAAAAAGAAACATCCAAGCAAAAAATACAGGAGTCAACATTCCATCATTGGTATGTGAACCAAAAGCTTCGAGCTATTCTGGAATGTGGGAGACAGGCAGCAACCTGTATTTCCAGGCTCAACACTGGCAGCTATACAAGACTCTTCCAGGATGGTATAAATACACAATGCACCATCCTCAGGAACAAAGAGGTCTCACCTGACCACCTCTTGGAATGTATGGAAGCCTAAAGACTACCATGATTATAAATTTAATCCATGAATTCAGTTTTGTGACCTTATATAATTATACAATAAGATAATAAAAAAAATCGCCAGGCTATAAATATTTAGGTTTATCATCGACCCCTTGGGTGGAAGGATGGGTCTAAACCGTTGGTTTTCGACCACTACGACCCGGGTTCGATTCCCACATGGGTCACTTTTTTCTGATTAAAAAAAAATGTTCCAATGGCCCCCGATTCTCGCAAAAGTTCAACCCCACCAGCGAGTACAAGTAACCAAACGGGGCTCTGGCACATTTGTAAGTGCAAAGTCGAACTGCTTTTCACATGTGTAGACATGTGGTGAACTTACAGTAAGAGCTGTCGCCTACTTCTACCCACCATGATTATCATGACCACGTGTACTAGGGATAAGAAAAAAAAGTTTTATCATCACGCTAAATAATAAAAACAGATTTTCCTTTTTTTATTTGATGATTCAATAAAATGTGTTATTTTGTGGCCGGACGCTAAGATATTTATCAACCACAGGAATGTACTCACACTGGAGCCGGACCAGCGGCTCGTAGAACTTTCCCTCCGTCATCCTGACCATGCTGCGGAATTCCATGTCCTTGGTGTCCATGGAGGTTCTATGGTCGGCGGACAGCGACGACTTGAAGAAGTTCTCAATGGTCAGCAGCCGCAGGTAGTCGCTGATGTTGATCAGTCCGCCCGAGTTCTGCTTCTGGATCTCCTCCTTCAGCTTGGGGAAGAATTTCTCGAACGACATGTTCCACACCTTCATGATCTGCCGCAGAGACGGAGTGTGTGAGTGGATTGTTGGATGTTCCACATGGTATGAGTGTGGGCTGGATAGAATGTTCCCAGAATTATTTATGTCACAGAGTATAAATTTCCACAATTGACGAACTCAAGAATGAAATATATTGGGATAGACTTGGCCCATCAACCTTCCAATTCAATCACCCAGATAACTGCGTTCGTTCGTCCTGCCTCTGAAGTCTTGTTGCTCAACGAAATTATAGAAGGAGTGTTTTATGGATTAAGAACAAAGACTTTCTCCCCCAGGCATGTTCTATGACGGGATATGAAGACTGTAGAACAAAACATTCTGTAGGCATTGATGTAAATTAATAGATTTAGTAATTTGTGTTGTTTATCAGGTGTTGCCACATATCTACATCCCTAAAGGGAGCATAATTCCCCAGTGCCCATGATACTACCCTGTAAATGCCCAAAATTTTAACCTAAGAAGGTGAGGTCCCCTATATTACACAGACTAGGATTGCCATCACTTCTGGCACCATTCAAAGCCCATCAAACATTTGCTACAGAGGGTAAATGATATGAACAAATGCTACAAAATTTGTTAGTAATTACACAGGTCTACAGAAAAAAAACTTTTTTTTTTTGCCGGAAAAAACCTGATGTTGATTCTAATGTAACTTTTCATGCTGAATTCAAAAATGAAATCAGAAGTTTTCCATCACCCATAGTTATTGCAGGATAACCATTTTTTCTATAAATTGGTATATACAGTAATAATGCAGAAAATGTTACGTAAGCATTTTTTAAGTAAACATCATTACCAAAATTCAAAACTATTTTAAAGGCGTAAGATTCTTTTTGAAATTAAACAATTTCTACTGCCCTTACTGCAATGGAAAATTAATGGGAGGGCCTGGCTCATCAGTGGTGAACCCTCCCAGCGGTTTCGCCAGTTTAATCTACCATACCGCTAATTTTTCCATTGCAGTAAGGGCAGTAGAAATTGTTTAATTTCAAAAAGAATCGTACGCCTTTAAAATAGTTTTGAATTTTGATAACAGATGGCGCGCTAGTGAATCATATTATAAACATCATTACATTAGCTAGCGCTTTATTTTTGACAAAAAGAGTTGATATGTGGAGCCAAAAGCTTTATTTTATTTGTTATTAATTATAAATTTTGCTCTTTATGAATCATAAATATTAATTTAAATAACAAATTATATTTTTTATTAAAATAAAAATTAGTGAATTTTTAATTAAATATGTTTATTTTATAATGCAATCTGTTTTGCTTTCAACTCAAAAATAACGACAACCTCTGGAATGCTATTTGCTGAATAACAGTTTTAATATGTATATTTAAATTGAACCTAACGATTTGTTTAATAGATTTGCATCAGAAGTGACAGGTAAATTTGAAGTGATCAGTTTATTCTTCTCTATCGATTTGCTTTTATAAATCGTGTGCACTAGACTGTGTCAATATGCCGAGGCGTTGCATTAATATTCCTGATATTTTCTGTTACATTTGTGGGGAATTAACTTTCAAAATTCAAGGGCGAAACTTTACACCGCTCATCAAAAAGTGCTATCAACTTTATTTTGGCTGTAAAGTCGGTGAACAAGATAAGACTTGGACTCCTCATAATTGTTGTGAAATTTGTGCTCGACGTCTTACAGGGTAGATTAAAGGTGAACGTCACATGCCTTTTGCGGTTCCAATGATATGGAGGGAACCTAAAGACCATTTTTCAGACTGTTATTTTTGTTTGACAAAGACTACAGGTATTACATAAAATCAAGACATACAGTTGAATATCCCGATTTGCCTTCTGCTATGAGACCGGTTCCTCATAGTGATATTTTACCTGTGTCACAGCCTCCTGAAAATGTAATATTTAGTGACGATGATTCAGATAGACGAGAGCAACAGTCGGATGACACAAATTTTGAAGCAGGTGCTTCATCTGAACCTCATTTGTTAACCCAAGGAGATTTGAACGACCTCGTACGTGATTTAGATTTATCCAAAAAACAGAGTGAACTTTTAGGCTCTAGGTTAAACGGCTGGAATCTGCTGCATAAAGGCACAAAAGTATGCTTTTTTCGCAAGCGTCAAGATGAATTTCAAGACTTCTTTTCACAAGAGAATGATTTAGTATATTGCAATGATGTTGTTAGTCTAATGGAAGCGCTTGGTCATGACCATGATACAGAAAAGTGGCGTTTATTCGTTGATTCTTCAAAAATTAGTTTGAAAGCTGTTCTCCTTCCCAACGGAAATAAGTTCCCATCAGTGTCAATAGCACATGCATCCAACATGAAAGAGACTTACGAAAACATGAAACTGCTTTTGAAAAAGAAAGAATATAAAAGATAGGGTTGGAAAATATGCAGCGATTTGAAAGCCGCTCTCTTGTGTGGATTACAGCTTGGATATACAAAATTTTGTTGTTTTCTGTGTGAGTGGGATAGCAGAGATAGGGAAAGGCATTACATTAAAAAAGCTGGCCAAACCGTGAAATCTTTACTCAAGGACATAAAAATATTGTAAATCCTCCCCATATCGATTCAGAAAATATTTACTTACCACCATTGCATATTAAAATGGGATTAATGAAGAACTTTGTCAAAGCAATGGATCGAAATGCCAGTGGATTTGCCTACCTAAAACAAAAATGTTCTAGCATAAGTGATGCGAAAATTAAAGAAGGCATTTTCGTTGGACCTCAAATTCGAGAATTGCTGCAGGATGGAAATTTTCAAAATAGTTTGAATGAAGTTGAAGCAGCAGCATGGAATTCCTTTAGAAACATTTGCAAGAACTTCTTAGGAAGTGTCAAGGTTGAAAATTACCAAGACATAGTTAATGATCTGTTGCTTTCCTACAAGGCATTGGGATGTAACATGTCTCTCAAGATCCATTTCCTACATTCACATCTGGATTTATTTCCAGACAATCTTGGTGCAGTTAGCGATGAGCATGGTGAGAGGTTCCATCAAGATATATCAAGCATGGAGAAGCGGTGCCAAGATAAATGGAGTCCCGGTATGCTTGCTGACTACTGCTGGACACTCAAGGGGGATGTACCACAAGCAAAGTATAGAAGAAAATCCACTGTCACTACTTTTCAATAAAATAAATATATTTCGTTCATATAGGCCTATATATTAAAAACATTTCCAAATTTCAAGTAGGTGTACTCAAAAATCTTGCGTGATAGAATAAAACTAATGGTATATTTGGAATCAGCACAGAGAGTTGGATTTAGATAAGATGTTGTTTCTTTTGGGACAAAGAAAAATAATTTTTGATAAACCAGTGTAATGTAATAAGGTTTATGCAAAATTGCTTACGTAATAATTTTTGCATTTTTTGGCTGTATTTATCCCAATACCAAAAATAAAGGCTGTCACGCAAAACCCATGGGTGATGGAAATTTTCTGATTAGATATTTTAGTTCAGCATGAAAAGTTACACTAGAAACACCATCAGGTTCTCTTGGACAAAAATGTTGTTGACCAGTGTTACATAATAAATGCTATCTTGTATCTCGGTACTCCAGCAGTTATTTACAACCTTTGTGTCCACTCAAAACTTCAGCATCTAGGATGTCAACTTGCTTAAATATCTTTATTGGGAATACTTGGAAACATATTCTTCTAGAGGCGATGGAAAACACAAGGCACCATATCCTCAAGTCAGACTTACCAGTTTCATCTTGGAAGCGCTGATGGCCGGAGTCAGGGTGCTGCGGTAAGTCTTCCAGCGGTAGTCCTCCTTCTGGGTGAAGAGATCTGTGAAGGAATTGTGCGGCAGCGTGGAGTTCTTCGCCATGGACTGCACCACACTCCACGGCTGACATCCCAACGTCGTATTCATACAGAAAATGGCGACAACCTCATTTTACATTTACATTGGCTGCAGTTAAATATATCCACTTGAAAATGCATCTTTTTGAAATAATGATCATATCTAGCAGAGCAATGTCCCACTCACTTCTCTGTTGTTGAAGACGGAGTACTCCTGGACCTGGATGACCTTCATCAGCTCGGGGTCCGTCACCTGGACGAGCGGCTTGGCGCCCAGGAAGTACCTGCGCCAGGCACTACGGTCACAAGATGGTGGCGTCCCAGAAGGCACCCTACAATTTCAACAATGTATTTGATTTAAATAAATTAACTGTAGTGTAAATGATCCAATTTTAAAAGGTTCGTGCGTAACAGGAATGGAGGAAAATGCCGTCAGCACAATGTGATCCGAATACCATGTCTCCGTTATAATATTCTCCAGAATGACGAGTAAACATTATTAAGCCGAAACCATCCGGGGAGATGTTCTTTATAAATTAAAATCTCTCTCTAGATTTTTAAAAGAGAAACTTAAACCCGGACGCCTTAGTTTTCGCCATACTGGGAATTA